AATATACACAATTTGAAAAATGAAATACGTACCTACAACCTACAATAATGATTAATGACAATCTACTTTTATGAAGGAAATATTATACAAAAGTTTTCCACAGAACACATACTTCCCACACCTGAATTAAATAGTTTTACTTTATGAACATTATATAATTCAATCATTAAGTAGGTACAGTAGTAAAATTTAATAAATATCTTCTGTTACTATAACTTATAATAATTTTAAAACCAAAGGGAACTATAATATTATGCCATTATGAAAATTGAAATTACTTACCTATTGTTCTTATAATAATATATGCTATTACCTATTAGACTTATATTATAGTACTCAATCAAGCTTCATGAGCTCAATCAAGAGCTTAGAAAGTGTATGACCGAGTGTATGAATTATAACAATTATTATGGCTTATTTTAAATATAAAAGTAACATAAAATTTCTAGTTCAAGAAATCTAATCAAAATATATTATGTATAAATATAATATATATTGTGTATTTATTATAATTAGTAAATATGTAATTAAATATGAATTTAATGTGTTTCTGCAACAATGTTGTATCACAGTGTTTGTACCACGTTTAATAATTTTGTTACAATTCTTTTCAAGTAGGTAACAAAAGTGTAATACTTTTTATAAGTTATTTCTACAATAGAGAATAAAAATAAAATTATTGAGAATTAATATCACTAATAGGTAACTGAACGCTTGTAAATTTTTTTTAATATTTTCTCTTCACAACTAAGTTTTCAATGTTCTAAATGACATACTAATATATTTAGTACAAAAATAATTTAAACTCTTCTCGAAATACACAGTATGATTTCTATGAATAGACGTGGACAAGTATTTTGTATATTTTAATATGAATATTAAATAATATGAATATAAATTTGTATAGAATTTCTTTTTTTTCTTGTCATCTTTTTTTTTAATATTCTTAAGAATTTCAGTTCTTTAGAGAACACAAAGGCTTTTTTATATTGTACTAGTATATAAGTATATTTTTAGTACAATTTATACAAGAACCCAAGATTATTTTTCTAATACCTAAATGCTGATAAAAGATAAAATGACAAATCAAAGTAGTTAAACAGCAATCTAAATTTAAATAATCTACTAGGAGTATGTCATGAAACAGCAAATAGTTTATTTTTAGGTTTTAATGTTTATTTTCGATGTTATTCATAGGTTATTTAAATACCAAGCCAATGTAAATAGTTCAATATTTTACCCAAAATTGAATATATTTTTATTTATTTAAGATACATACTGTTCAAACTTTAATCGTATAAAATAATATCTATTAAATACTAAATAGCAATTCCCATTAAAGGCAAGCACATAAAATAAAATAAAAATGTTCAAATTACCTAAATAAGTTAGTATTCTTTCATTCTATTTCAAAGTTAGTTTATCTACTTACCATAATAAATTTGAGAAATAGGTAACTATAAAAGAATTGTTTTATTTTTGTTTTTAATTAAGTGATTTTATTTGAGTAGTGAGAAACTTGGTGAATTTTTTCTCTAAGTAATAAGTGAAATGACCTTATAACTTTTTAAAAATAACTTACTCAATTCTTGTACCCACACCACATAAATATTTGATTTGATAATATAGACAGATACAGTAGTGTTTAAGGACTTCTCTATGACAATAAACCAAAATAATTTAAAATTGTATGTAAATATCTAACATCTACATTTATTTTTTAAAAAGAATCAATATTATTAACAATTAAACATATTAGTTATTGTGCTCAAAAAAATTGTTTTATTTGCATTTGAATGATTAAAATATAAATCGCTAGGTATCAAATATAGTTGATTTAAGAGTATTATTACACTACTCTTTTTTTTAAGAAATACTTGGATAACATTATGAATTTGGTACGATACAAAATATAATGTTTTTTGTTTTAACTGTTAGTTACGTATCTACTTAACAAACATAAAGGTAAAATTTTTAGATTAATAAATCACTTAATTCGGTAAATAACAAATCATATGTAAATAAGAAAATACTTAAATAAATCACAATTATTTTTCTTTAATATTAATACCAAAATTAATAGGTACTTATATTATTTATATTTTTTTAGACAATACCTACCATATATTATAATTTATGACTAAAATTTGGTACCAATACAGGTACCAATGTAATATTCGGTAATATTTATTTTAGTCAGGGCTGAGTTGATGGGACAAATTACTGAGAAAATTCAAAATCTCAATTTGCTTCATATTATTGTTGTATAACAACTACAACTTTTATAAATTATCTAAACGATATTATATTTTATCTATATGTAAGATATATCTTAAGTTTATATTTAATATTGCCTTAACATTAATTCAACTTAAACATTATTAAATTCATAACAATTCAAGAAATTATATTCATGAATAATATAATTTATAATAATGTAGTAATGCAATAAATAATGGCTATCAATACATTAATTAATAGTGACTAAAATACTATATATAGGTATTAGGTATCTAAAAAAATTCAATTAAATAAAATAGGTATCAATACAGGACATACGTTTTTTAATATTTTTTTTTTATTAACTTATTAATTATTTTGTTTTACAATCTTTTCTGTTGAGAACTATAAGTAAATGGGAAAATGAAAAAAAAATACAAGGGACATTTTTAATGGAAGAAGTCACCCACTGATAATACTAGCTAGTAACTATATTGAATAGTTGTTAAGTGGTATCTTTAAATATACAATCTATGTGTAATATTATTTTAGTAATTTAAAAGATTGCGACACCAATTGAACTTTAAGCCGGAATGAAAGAAGACGATACATTTTTCATAAGATAGTTGGAATAGTATACCGTCTACCCATAAATTACATATTTATTGCGAAGCCTTTTATAGAAAATCATTGTTTCATTGTACAGGCATTATACGGGCAATTTAGTGGAAAAGTATAATAATAAAGGTGGCAACTAAAATATAATTTTCAAATTGTATAGAATAAATTGTGGAAAATTTTAAAAACCGGCACCGGGCCTCTTAGGCACTTGAAGAAGCTGCAGACATTAGGCACATGTCTGGAAATCTTAAGTTACTTATATAACAGTCAAAGTAATGTTTTTCGTGGCTTTTTGGAGATTTTACAGCGTAAGTTCTTAAGATTCTACAGACCACAACGTCCATGCATTATAACGACAAAAATAAATATTATTTGTTAAACGATAATGGTAGATACAAGATACTAGGTAGAAAGAGCCTATCTGAGACGCATTAGGTCTTTCGAAAGGATTGCTCTTTCTAATCGAAATCGTTCAACAATAAATACGTAATGAAAACCCGATTCCGTTATGATATATAACATACTATATTATACAATAGTAAATTATCATTGGACTAATGACAGATATAGGGGTTAAAGTCTAGAATAAAACACCAGCATTGTCCCAATTAGAACCAGGTTCGAATGTCTGATGTCACTAATCAGACACACTGCACACGGGGCATGGTTCGACTGAAAGTTTATTAACAATAGGTAATCGTAATTCATAGATAATATTATTTTATTACCTATATATGCGATAAACACAGTAACACACTAACACAATACATATTATTTATAATATTCAATCGACATTAATAATAATAGGTTTGGTTGGGGTAACGATATCGGGTTAAGTGCGGCGGAAAACGAAAATTTAATTTAAAAAAAATTCCCCATCACTTGGGCCTGAGAGTCATATATAGTATTCCAAGTGTAGAAGAGAACGTTTTATAATTTTCGACAGGTCCGGCCGCGCGCAGTTTGGTGGGCACCAGGAGCGGGTGGGCAAGAATGTGATTTGGAAAACGGTTTTTTTTTCAAGCCAAAACAACGTCGGCGACGATAATGTGGCAGAGTTCGGTCGGTGGGGAAAAAAGCTTCGAGAGATTTCCTGTTTTCGGTCGATCGGAATAAATTAGCGCACGCGGTCGACTTACCCTTGAAACCGGCTCCGACCACTGCTGACGAATAATAGACAATAGACACAGTCGGTGGCAGAGTGGCGTACGTGATGCCAAAAAAACACCTATTGGCTATGGTAAATATTACGTTATGATGTGGTGTATCGCAGTCAGGTTACCCGTCGCGTATCGTCACATATTACAATATTATCTTATAATATGTAGGTACCTACCTATGTATAAAGCGAACGTAGGCTCACTATACAACGTATAACAATAATATTATTAAACGGTTAAAATTATTATTGAATGACAACGGGTAAGTATAACTAGTTGCATAACGGCGATTTATCACTACACACATATACCTATATTATTTGAAATCAAAATCGCAGTTGAGCCATTGCATATAGGTATATAATTCGACAAACTAAATGTACTCAAGATTACCATATGCCTAAATAGGCAGGTAGGTAGAATACTTGTATACCTACAATTAAGAAAAATAAACCGTAGTCGGCGACTGTGGACTGGCGGACTGCTGGTCATAACCCAGAAATAAAATAGCTCGGCACAATGAAATAGGTAACGCGAAATATCATTAAAACAGCAATAATAATTATTATTATTGTTATAAATTATAATAGGTACAGACCTAGCTCTATTATTCGCAGGTTTTTTTTTTTATTATTTTTTTACCACAGGTACCTCACTAAGTAGGTACGCTATTATTATTATACTTTCTCTCGTTCCTCGTGGCGGAAGACCGCGGCGGCGACGGCGTCGTTGCCGGGAGGGAGCGAGCAGCGAGGCGGCGCGGGCCGAGAGAGCGACGAGTACGAAGACGAGGGACTTTCGAAAAGACGAAAAAAAAACGTTAAAGGTAACGTTATAATGAGAAAATAATGGAAAATCGCTGGAGCCGGTACAACGATGTCATCGCAATATTGTGGTACACCGCGGTAGCACGAGGAATTATATTTAGGTATACCGGCTGCGTTATACACGTGTAATATTATTACATGGGTATAGTGAGTAGAATATTATCGTACTTACAGTGGTGGTACAGCGAAGATCGGTCGACACTCCTCGTGGCCGGTCTTGCAGGGTGACGCTTGATGGTGGGTCCGTTGCAGGTCTTCTTCTACCGCGGAGGGCAAAAGGATTTCGACGAGTTTAAAATTTTAGGGGGGGAGGTGACGGATTGACGGCACTGCAACAGCAGAGTGTTGCGGCGTACGACCGGCGACGGAAAGAGACTCGGCACGGTTTTCGGCTGTTCTCTCTAGGTTCGCGCGACGGCGAAAGACAAAAGAGTGACGGCGGTGCCGGAGAGGGAGACGACGATGACGACGACACGGACGACGGACAGCGAGTGACAGAGCGCGTGCCAAGCGACGGGGGTGACGGTCGGTCGGCGAGTGTTTTGTGGGTTGTGGGGGGTTTGGGGGGTCGAGAGCGGGGAGAGTGACAGGCGGTCTGACGAACTGACGGACGGTGAGAGAGCTGCCGGCGGCAGACTGCGTGTTCGCTGTTGTGCGGTCGGCGTAGAACTGATTGCGAACGCGACGATGCAACCACTGCGGCGCGTACGCAGTCGGTGGGTCGCCCGCACGCACACGCACACGCTCCCGGCCGCCGTCACGCACGCTCACGCTCACACCCGACAAACAACAAACGTGAAGACCGCGACGGCGATGGTCGTACAACATAGTATTATATATATTATTATTATTATAGTAGGTAGGTAGTGGTTGTCGTAGTAGAACTGTAGAAGTAGTAACTGGTAGTAGTAAGTTGTTTTTGGTATACGATTTTTTTCGTCGATCGTGGACCGTGGTAACCGCGGGCGTCATGAAGTCGGGTCATCATAGTCGCGTCGACCACACCAGACCGGATCGGAGAGACCATCTGATGCTGGTCCGGCGGCAACACGGCAACTGCGCAAAAACTGTGGCGGGGGATAACGTCTTTAACGTCCGCTTATAGTCGAATATAACGTAATAATAATATTATACTCACTGGCTTCTATTATACTTCCGTAGTTCTATACTTTTATGCCTAAATACTTCTATGAACTTTATAAACTTTCTATTCTACTCCTCTATTATAATGGCCCTATGGTGTCATAGAAATCTGTGATGATATAATATTTCCAATGTCTCAACAGAGATCCCTTCTACGATTTACGAGCACAGCGACACTGGCTCTTGTCTACAGTCGCATTAGTTGTTTGTTATTATTATAAACCGTCGTCATCTTCGTCTCGCCGATGACGTCTGCCTACCTGTTGAGTTAATCATAACAACCTGCGTTGTTATGATTATTGTTATTATTATCATCGTTGTGGTCGTCGTCGTCGTTTCGTGAACGTCATAATAAATATTTTAGTAGTAACTTCTATTGGAGTAGCGATAGCAATCGACGACGATATTATTATTATTATATTACTATCGTTAATGTAAAACCCTAAACTGCATTCAAAACTGATACAACCTTAAGTCCCGTCGCTCCAATCGATAAAATCCCAAACTCTCCCCCATTTTGGAAAACAGTCCGGAACCCGCAGCGGCTGCGACCCTCTCGTCGGCCGTGTACTGCCGTGATAATAATGTATAATGGACATTGTGCATGCATACAATTTCATTGTATGACTATGAGCGGTGGGTGGTGGGTGTCGAGCACTGAGCAGCGGGCCACACGATGAGGTCCCTTTTGCCCAATGTCGTTAAAGAGCACACTCCGCCAAACATTTGCCCTCTCCGCCGCACTATCGTGCCACACTGCACCGTGCTGCAAAAACGAGTTCGCTAACATCTGCAGCAGCCGTAAACGATAATCTGAAAAAAGCGGTTTTGTACGACGAAATCGTGTGGTTGCAAAGAGTTCACGAAAATAATAATATTATCGAGAGCTATGGCCTATTACTCGTCAGTATCTGTAGTCATTATTTCTGCAGCACTATTAATATGCGTTTGTAGTAAAGTAAATTAGTTATCTCACTGTTGGCTTACAGCTAACTGGTATTACAGTGGTATTATATAGTAATATTATCATATTGAAAAAATAAAAAAACTTAATACCAATCGAATTCTGTTCGATACCCTCGAAAAACAAAATGGCCGAGGAACGGTGGCGCCGTCGAAAATATCGTTTTCAAAAAAAAAAAAAAAAGGTTCGAAATGAATGATTATTGCACAATATAATTTAGTATAATGTATAAGTAATTATTAGTTAATATTATGTTATAACGTGTTCAAAAATAATTGCTGCAACAACGGTAATAACTGATAGCTGCTATAATATAGATGGCGAAGCTTATCGAATATGACGCTGCTTTATGTAATAGAAATTAAATAAATTGAAAATGTGGGATAGTCGATCATCCGAAGTAGACGATTTTCTTAAAACGTTTAAATCTCATTTTTCAGAATACTTATCGCTTCGAGTAATCATATTACAGATAAATAGATCGGTTCCAATGATTTAGGCGTTTTTTAATTGTTGAGAATGACTTGAAAATCATATTATACAATGTCCGTCAAACCAATATTGACAGAAGATGATAATAATTATACTCTACAGATGTTCGGCGAACTCGTTGTTTTCAGTTAATTGTATTATAATTGCACGTATACATTATTATTATTAATAGCATTATTACGATTATAATAGGTATCTACCTAAAGTCTATAACATTAATCGTGTATTTAATGTGATCGGCGTTCGAGAGACGGCGATAACAGACCACGTCGGCGATTTCACGTCCTCTCAAGTCTCCAACTCCGTAAACGTATACGCAGCGGATAATCACTAGCGACGCGATAAAAATACGCGCGACGTGCGAATTACGGCGGCGGCGGCGGCGGCGGCGGTTACACCGATTCAAGGTCACCACTATTGAGACTGCCTCCGCACCGCCGTCGATGCGTGCTCGGCGTGTTTTCCGCGCGGAAATCACCGACACGGCGTTGTTTGCGCTCGCTCGGAACTCCGACGTTACGGACCAAAAGTTTTGGATTGAGAAATCTCACAATATTTTCGTATACAACCAGTCGTTAGGAACGTATTAATTAATATGATATTATCATAACTAGTGCGCTTGTATCCAGCATTATTATTAGGCAATGACTATTATAAAATATCACGAAGATATTATAACGATATTGATATAGGTAGGTATATATAGGTACAGTCCTTGGACATCGACATGCCTAACTACAAAAGCAAACAAAACTCATTTACCAAATTACTGGCAGGTATTTATATTATATAGGTTTGACACTAATTATTAAATGGGGATCAGATGTATATACTTAAATAGGTAATTAGTACCTACTTACCTACATATTTTCGCTGTAATCGTTGCCGATAAATTATAATTTAGGCCAGTGATATAAAATATTCGTTTCACTCGATTTTACATACCTCACAATAGTTCCATTTTCTCTCACATATTAAATACTATAATATTTATTTGTCATCTTACTCCTACTGAGATACCAAATATACCCTTGAATTTCTATAACGGATATCCGAAAAACCTTCGACGATCCACGATGTATATTATAATATTTTGTTTGATGGCTTAGTACTTTAGTCAGCATGTGTATTGTGTAATGTGTTTAATCGATGTTTAAGCATTATTTTTTGAACAAACACTTTTCAATAGACATTAATTTTTAATTTTTGAGATACCTACACTAATAGACACCCCTTTTCAATATAATTTTGCAATGGAAGTACCTGTGATAAAGCTATACACTTAATAAACAAATCATATTAATATATTACATATTTTTAAATTTTTAACACATAGTTATACATATATTTCGGTTGTATAAATAAATTAAAACCCTAGCCGGCTAGCCTTACTAATTTATACCGATATTCGAGTGAAGCTTAAAGGGTCTGCTATCCGTGATATGAATATATGATATCATATTATCCTTATAGTTAATAGCTGTTATATTATAATATTAAAACTATACAACTTAAAATGTTCATCCATGAATTCTGTGTAATTTGGTTACAACTGCAACTCAATTATTATATATGCACTATACTGGTACCTACTATTCAGTACTACGTATATAAAATTATATACGAAGCCGCAATGCCGGTAAAACGGTTTAAAACTAAAATAAACGTTTTAAAGGAAATTGCATGGTTTATACATCGTGCAAGAACTTAGTTTACTGTATACCTGTATACATAATTGATAGTATTAGTATTCTATAGAATTTCGACAATATTTAATTTAAATAAAATTTTGCCATTTATTCTCACATGTTGTGTATCCTAAAATATGTTTTGAATCAAATGAATTGTACCTAATCATCAAAAATAAAATAATCATTGCAGTTTATTGTTGATAATGATAAATAATAAATAATAATCAAAATTATAGATTTGACTTAATTTGGCGAATTTCAATAAACAATTTATTGTAAATACTATTTATTATTTAAATTCAAATGTATAAAAAAAGACAAATATAGGCAACATAATGCTTGGTGGCTACGGAGATAACTTATAATGATAAGCCATAGTCATATTCAATATAAATTAGTTCCCGTTTGTTCGGCTCATCTTTAAACTGTTTCGAAACAATTAAAATTTTTAACTTTTTTGAAACAACTCACTATTTAGTACTTACACATTATAGTTTCAACGTTTTCATTTCCAATACTTTTTAGTTTTAAACGGTTTTATCCGCTGTCTCAATACATGATAAACTACCATGTGTTTTTCCACTATTTTTACTAATTTAACTAAGGAGATGAACAAGAACATGTGAAAACACATTGGGTCACTCTGTATATCGTATATAATCGTATAATATATTAAACAAAAAACCAAGTCCTAATAACACTTGTTGGAGGTATATAGGTACATTTGCCGAATTAATACAATAGAATTTTTAAATAATAATAACTATTACAAATTCAAAAGCCAATAGATAAAATGCATCGTGTTATTAAAATATAAAATTCATTATAATAATATATAATATCCAGTAAAATATTTTATTTCGTATATTATAATTTATAGAATATATCACATACCTATGTTGTTTTATAGCATTCAGTGGAGACGAATTCAGTTGGAAGTATAACTATTTAATTAATAGGTAGGTAGTGGAAAATAATATTATTTTATTTGTATGAATTTACTTAGTATGCAATTCAGTTTCTAGGGAAATAATATTTTATGGGCCATTTAGTGAATGGAATTCATGTTCAATAATTTAATGTAATGATGAAATGTAAATTTTATGAAATGTGTATTTTATCTAATAATAAAAAGTTGGCATCATAATTTGTATGGAAATTATTTACAAAGGAATTTAACTAATATATGGAAATCATATTAATAATGGAATGATTTTTTTAACGGAACCTTTTACTTGCGCGTACTGTCAACGATCTACGATATGGTAAGATATTACGCAAGTACACGACCGTTTGTAAAGAGGTTTAATATAGACAATTTTAAAAGTTCGTTCAAAACAATGAAGATGTACAATTACAATGCATTTACAGATACTAGCATTAGTATGATAGCACCACTTTTGGATGGA